AACTTGCTGAGGGTGCACTCTGTACCTTCCTCCAGGTCATGATGAATACATTGAACAAGACTGGACCCCGTACTGAGACCCCTGGGGGACACCACTAGCTACAGGCCTCCAACTTGACTCTGCACCACTGACCACAACCCTCTGAGCTCAGCCATCCAGCCAGTTCTCAATCCACCTCACCGTCCACTCATCTAACCCACACTTCCTGAGTTTACCTACGAGGATGTGATGGGAGACAGTGTCAAAAGCCTTGCTGAAAATGATTGATTTAAGCAACAAACTATGCAGTCATCTCATTCAAGGTGCCTGTTATCCTCTAAGCAAACCTTTCCTATTCAAATACAAAACCCTGACTATGTTATGACAATAAACATTTGCATGACAGGTACCCAATTCTGTAAACTCAGATGCTTGAGTGACAGAGTTGAAGCTCATAGTTTGCCTGGGCTCCGAGGACAGCCACTCTGGAGGAGGGAAGTATTCACTGCAGTAGGCTGCAGGGTCCTGGGCCCTGTGCAAAGATCACAGTGGGATCCTGTTAACCTGCAAGTGTCACCTTGGCCTTTGCACAGCTTCATAGCTCACCATCTGGCCCATAGGTCCCGTCACAGTTACACATTCGATACCTATGCCACCGTGTGGGGAAATCTCTGGCTGTCCTGCACTCATTGTCGCTTATTTTGCTTTCTAATTATGCCTTTTAGAATAGCAGCACTATTCTAAAAGTCAATCCTATGCGTAGCTTTTGCTGTAGCACGGAGCCAGAAGGTGAACCTCATGCAACCACCATGTAAAAATATATTCACATTGCTGAGCTAGATTTTGCCTGATGTTGTTTAACACGTGACCACCGAGTTCACTTGAGAAGCCTCTAATACCCCTACCAATGAATAAGCACTAACTTCAGCAGTAAGAGGTCAAATAGTTCTGGAGCTGAAAGGAGAATTTCACAGCTGTTAAAGCTGTGAATGAGTTTCAGGTGAAATGCTGTATTTCACATTACAGCTTTTTAAAGTCTTTAGTCAGCTAAAAATTAGTATAAGTGTCGTATGATTTTGCAAAGTGTCTTGGTACCTACGTGATTTTTCTGGGATGTTAGGTAAGGGCTTTAGAAAATACTATCAGTTCGTACTCATACTGGTTTATATTTGGCTATGCCAAGATGTAATACAGATGTTATCTTAGAGGAAGTTAGGCTGAAAAGGAAGAGATAGATTTTCCAGAGAGCTATGTGGGCATGTTTATTATTAAGTATATTAAGAAGGTAATTGCTGTATGTCTTAATTTTAAGGTATCAAAATGGAAAGACTTTAAATGGGTTCTAGTAATCAGAAATCTTTGTTACAAGGTAGCTTACTGTAAAAATGAATTCATCCAGGTTCCTTGCCATCCCAACAAATAAGTCAGACTATCCTAGAAACTGGAGCAGTAGTGACAAATTCTCTCTCTCTCTCTCTCTCTCTCTCTCTCTCTCTCTCTGATAATGTTGGTTTTTAAACTAGTGTTATACCAGTGAATATACCATTATCATTAAATTAAGGTTGAAAGATACTAGCTGCTGAAAACTTAGAGGAGTTAATAAAATGGGGTAATAGACCCGTTAAAAGAATAACAACAACAAAAAAAAGGTTTCGACAGACCAGAAAAGAAATCAAAAAATGTCTCGATATGCCATACTGTGCAGTTTGGAAAAAAAAGGACAAAAAAGCACCCAAATTTCCCCAAAAGCACTAACTGGCTGTTGCCTGGACAGGTAGGTAAACAATTTAGACGTTCAGTGAAGGACTGGCAAAAGCCCTGTCATCGTAGCCACCTCCTCCCTAAGCCGTGCTCTGCATAGCCAGGCTCTCTACCTATCCCAGTCCTAACCTGTTGAAAAGGAGGAGCTTTACTCTGTCCATTCCTTATTTATAACTTGTGGAGAGCCGTGAGGGAGGGGGGAGCTCTCTGTGGTGCATCCTGCTGCTGCCTGCCCGGTGTCAGCTTTGCAATCAGAATTACAAATGCCTTCTGTGCAGCTTGGTGGCTGCCTTCGCACTCTTGGGTTCCTCTGGCTGTTTGCACTCAGAGAAGCGAGGATCAGAACCTATTACATCGGGATTGTGGAAGAGAACTGGGACTATGCACCAACTGGAAAAAATCTGATCACAGGACAAAATCTCTTAGAGGACAAGTAAGTCACTGCGAGCGCTGCTAACTCAGAGATATATTGATGACTCCAAAGAAAATTGACCATATGGTTAATATAGCTGTAGGTGTCTTAAGCTGGCCTTTTTCTTTTTCTTCTGATGTTGTTGTGATGTGCAGGATTTCACCTTCAAGGTAAGAGGAGACACTGGCTGACTTCTCTTCCATCATGGTTGATTTAGCAGGGTGATAGTTATTGTGCGTTTGAAGATGACATTAAGGAACTGATGTTTGTCGAAGTATAATGCAGTGGGTTCAAAATCCCCTGTGCATGTTTCATAGAGACTCAAGTATTTCTGGGAATGATTATCCAAACCGAAATTGCAATTTTGCCATAATCGAGCACAATCTTTTCAATGAGACATAGAGGTCTGTTTAACTGGCAAAAACTAATGAGTTAATTCCCTGTGA